TTGTGCAGGTTTCTTTCCACATAGCTTTCAAAGACTTCCAGTGTTCTTCCACACAGGTTTCTTCAGGGATGTCCCTCGACGTCTCCCATTTTGTCTTGATGGCTGCCATGAAGATCTCCTTTGTAGTTTCATCCTTCAGTTTCCGAGTGTTGTACTTGGGTTGAGGTCTATCACCAGCTTCCTTGAAGGCCTTTAACTTGATTTGGAAGGTTCCTTGCACTAGGTAGTGGTCTGAACCTACATCTGCTCCTCTTCTTGACCTTGTGTTAAGTAGACTGCGTCTCCATTTTCTTGAGATTGAGATAAAGTCGATTTGATTTTTAGTGTGTCCATCTGGTGAAATCCATGTCGCTTTGTGGATATCTTTGTGCCTGAACACACTGCCTCCAATCACCAAATCGTTGAATGCGCAGAATTCTGCAAACAATTCTCCATTCTCATTCATTTCACCTAGTGCCTCTCGACCCATGGTTAGTTCTCTTCCCGTGTTGTCCCCTCCCAGTTTGGCATTCATGTCGCCCATTAGAATTTTGATATCGCCAACTGACGTCTTGTCCAGTGTTGATTGAAGTTGTCTGTAGAATTCCTCCTTTTTCTCTTGCTCTGCATTATTTGTAGGTGCATAACATTGTATGATTGTGACCTTTCTTCCTTTTGAGTTGAATCTTGCTGTCATGATCCTGGAGGAGATTGGTTCCCACTGCATGAGAGCCTTCGATGCTCTTGAGGACATCATGATAGCCACTCCCTCAGTGTGCTCGTGGTTGGCGTCTGGGTGACCGGAGTAGATTATTGATTCTCCAGTTGACAGTTTGGAGAGTCCACTCCCATTCCATCTGCTTTCGCAAATCCCAAGCACTTCGATGTTATACCTTCTCATCTCCTTTGCAATCTGGGCTGCCTTACTGGGTTCAAACATCGTGCGGACATTCCATGTCCCCACGTTTACTTTCGCTTTCATCGAGAGAAGACACATCGGCCAATTGGCTTCCCGAAGGCTTTCACCAACTGGCGTCATTTCGCCTCTCCGATTCCAGCGGGGAATAAGTTTGTTTTCATTTTTTATATTTTGTTTGTGCTTTGAAGTTTCTTTAGCGGTTAGATTTGTTTTACGGGGTAGGGTTGCTAGCCCTATGCCCAACCTTCCCTCTTTACCCGGGCTTAGGACCGGCTAGTAACTAGTAAACTAGTTAACCAGGCGAGGTTCGAAATGGCTTCAGACTAACTGTAAATCAGAATGAAAAGCGTTCTACGCTGGAGAAGTATGAAATAGAAAGTTTTAAAACATTTTTAAGACAGTTTAAGTCTTCATAACCATCATCGCACCACCATAACGCTCATACTGTGTAGTAATTTACAGAATAATGTGAATAGAAGAGTTCTGACTTCGATAACTAATCAAGGACAAGTTGTATACAAGGGTCAAGATATCGTCCTTTCTTAAAACTGAATTGCATAGTTAGCTCACATCATAGGAAGTAAATATGTTTGTATGGTATGTTATTGAAATCGGCTCGAACTTCATGTAGTGGTTGGCTTTTTGTATCAGTTTAGCTTTCAATATGTTTCTGAAACATTTGATCTATTGAGAGCAATTTACAAAATGGAAAGAATGGCATAAATAAGACTTCTTTATTACTGGTTTCAAATCGGTATTCACCAATGATTAATATCAGCTGGGGAAACATTGAACACTGAAGGAATCTTAAAGCAGTAACAATCAGAAGTTGACAACATTTGATGAAACACTGGAGAAATGCAAGCATTTGACAGCTGTTTCACTCTAACATAAGACTGTTAAACAGTGTACACCCAAAAAACATCACCATGTATCAAATTCAACACCTTCAGGTTTAGTGATGAGCACGTTATCAATTAGCCATTGGGTCAGAATCCAATTGAATTTTGAAGGAGTTGTGGAGATTTGGAAATATTTAAAGTTGTTATTCATCACAGACTGACAGAAGTTGGAGGAACAAAGGAAACTTGGGAGCACTGGACAGCTGTTCCGTCCGACTAGTATGGGGTTCCTTAGCAGTGCGCACCCACGACCAGCCGGGGATCGAAACCACAATTTTCAGGTCCCGTGGCCAGCTGGTTACCATTGAGCCACTGGGTGAGAATCCAATGGTCCATATTTCCAACTCCTGTCAGCTCATGATATAGCGCAACCGCCACCTAATGTCCCCATTTTTCTACTTTTGCCAGTAAACGATATGGCTTGGCTGTCATCCGCTGTTATTGGCGGCTGTCTGTAGTTATAGTCGAAATGGTTAACCTAACGGGTCATGGTTTTTCATTACAACTTCAACCTTGAAGTAAATAAATCTCCACAAACCTCCAAACTGAAAGAGTCACTTTCAATTTTACTTCTTTCATATAAACCCTTGAGAATACACTTCAAACCTAGTATCATTGGGATCTGATGTGTTATAAAGGTTGCTTATAGCCCATTGCAACTACTAATTACATTTTTATTCTCTGTTTTTGTCACCTTCTATCTTTCTACCTTGGATCTTTATGCACTGATTCGAAGTGTAGTGAGTTGAACCGTTATACAATATTACAACGCTACATGCTGAAGGTAAATCGACTCTCTATTACTACTCTCTAAGTGTTACAAGCTGTAAACCAGTAATATTAACTTGATAAATTGTTTTGTGTATCACAACCTTATTTGATTCAATTTTATGCCGTTTACCGTTCTAGTTAGAGTGTCAGTGTTCAATATTCTCACCCTCTGAATACTTCTGATGAAAATAACAGAGTTCAACGATTTATGCAGTCTTAATCTTGGAGTGATACTACATTTTGTATCATTTCGGCGTGTTTCATTACTTGAAATTAAAAGGGCATAATATTTTGTCCATCCTGAATGAGAAAGTTTACCAAACTAGCTCCAGTAAACTTTTCAACGACAGTATGAAACAATCACTCAAAATCACATCCAAGCCAGAGTTGATTAACCTCTGCTTGGATAGATTTTCACAGGGGTATTCATTTTTGGAGGAAAATTGAAAAACCTTAGAGCGCTGAACATCAGTTTTGTTGTATCATCAGACTCTTTAGCCGTGCGCTCCCACATTGCCACCATGGATTGATTCCAAGACCTTGAAATTTGTTGGTGAGCTTGTTACGAATGGTTTACACTCTCCGAATTCTGTAAATTTACATTCAAACTAAGTCAGCCTTGAGGAATGAAGTTTATCGGTGTCACTGGATGAAGATCACGGAATATCATGAATTCGAAGGGGTGAGAAAATATGAATCATTGGATTGCAACTCAGTTGTTCAATATTGAACATATTCAATCCGTTGTCGGCGTGCACTGCTGAGAAGTCCAATACTGTGACAAAATAACTATCCAGTGCTTACCTTTCTTCCATGTCTCACCGACTGATGTCAATTCATGATAAATACCCTCTTGAAATTAATAATTCTTCACAAAGCTCAAAACTCCATAGATCTTATTAATGAATTAATTTTACTGATCACTAAAGCAAGCCTTTTTAGTAATTAGACTTGAGAAAAAAAGTAACTAAAACTATTTTACATAATCAAGCCTAGAGAAATTTTTTTACTGGAGTAAGACAAGTTACATCATAAGGCTTTCTTGGTGCTCAAAATCACTACTGTGTGTTGAGTAAATTGATAGGCAGTAAGGTTGAGTCATTTAGTGGTGGTGGTGGGGGGCTTGATTTACACTTAGTCAATTCATACATATGCTACACATAAAAATTCCTCATCCACTTCTATGCACAACATTTTATTACAGTTCATCAAAAAGAAGGTACAACAAGGTATTCAATGATACATCATCATTCTATGAAATCTTCAAGTACTGGTCTGAATATTTTAGGAAATCGCAGCTTTTATTACTAGGGTCTTCCAGTTGTTAGGATTTATCTGTAGATGGTAGTCAGTGATAAATGTGTACCAACTGTTTTACCTTAAATACTTTTCCTTCTGCCTTTTATACTTCGTTTTCTCTAAGTTTCCACTTTATATTTCACCAAAAGTGATAATTTAAAACAATGGATCATTATGTTGAACTCTTGATCAATCTCTCTGTCTGTCTACTCTTTGAAATACAACTGCTTTCTAGTAAATCATGAGGTAGGTAGCATAATTGAGGGTTGGATTTTCCACTTATCTCTAGAAAATTACGCGAATTGATCGTTGAATGTGAATCAATATAGCTATAAAGTCTTATATGCTCATTTCTACTTCAGTCAGGCTTATATCGTGGTCGCTGAGATGCACTATATTTCACCTTTGGGGTTTAAGAGATAATCGTTAAGGCTTCTTGACTAATATTAAATTTGTGCTTGCTGGCAACAACTATAGAGTATTATCTATAGCTATGAGAATTTCAGTGTTTCATTGGTGATTCTAGTTTGGACTAATCTTTGTCGAAATTGTGGACTTTATTAGTAAACCGTTCAGCACCTGAATGATGCATTGTATCATTAGCACCAAGAGTCAATCCTATAGACCAGTTACTATGTGGTGATGTATATGTGAGAGCAAACTGCAGCTTAGATATCTTGGTAGATAAGCATCTGACATGAGAAATGACTGAAAGGATTTCGAATAACTAACGAGATATAATGGTTCCAGATACACCTAATTAACCAGTGCTGAAAACCATGAAAACTAGGTCAATCAAATATTCCTCTACTTTGGCTCTTAACGTCTTTCATCAAAGTTAAATTATGTAATGATACAAGCAGGCCTATGATAACCGTATTTACTTATTCCAGTTCTATTCCTTTTATGGACTTTCATCGTCATTTGTTGAATGTGATAAAGGTTAGTAAACTCTATAACCTAGGCAAAGAATTTAACACGAACAAATTGTTAAGATGCTAAATTCACAACAATGAAACTACTCAGGTAGGTAGCTTGCTAATGAAACCATTAAACCTGTAATAATCAGCGCCAACTTTATAATTACTCCTATACATGTCATATGCAATAAATAAAACTTTATTACTCACATTTAAAGAAGGCCATATTTTATTATTCTTCTCAAAGGTAAGTAATGTAGGTTTCTGTGTAGAATAAACACCCTTGTTAGCAGTTACATCACTTCGTTCATCTGTAGCCACCTGCAATGGTGATGATGATGATGATAATGACAACGTTTTTTCTTCCATATACTCTGAATTTCCAATTAACTGTTCAATAAATGCAAGTCGGGCATCACATTCACGATAGCGTAAATACAATCCAATTCCAAAACCAATAAGTAGTAAAGTTGTTAGAAAATTGCACACAGTAAGTAATTTACACCGAAAATATGCCTTTTCACTATCAATCTTATGATTTTGATGATTTAATCCAGTGTAATAATTCGATTTACAATCATTATGTCCTTTCGAATTTTGTAGTGTTGATGTAGTCATAGTTTGTTGCAATAATGTATTGGTTGTTGGATTACAGTTATTTCCAGGCAAATAAGCTGATTTATTATTATTATTACTAATACAATTATTATTTTTATTGGTTAATAATTGTTTATCATGAAAAGGCAATATTTGTGACATTGTCTCATTATTATTATTATTATCATCTATACTACTATTTTTATAATGAATAGTATTGTGAATATTCAGTGAATAATCAGTAAGATTGTTATTGGATTTTAATGAATTATCATTTGATGTAGATTTATTAAAGTATTGTGAAGATGTATTCTGTTGTAGACTTATACTTGGTAATGGATTTAATTTTGTTGAATAATTTGACGGTGAATGTTGAGAAAAGTGATAATTTGTACTGTACATATGATATGGATTTTAATGAATTGTTCGGTAAACATCCAGTCGTTTAGTTGGTGCTAGATGAATAGTAAGTAATCTATTTTAGTTTCCACTTCAGTTTTGATGAAAACTATTGTAGGAAAAAGAAAGTTGTGATTAGAAAATAATAGATCTTTAAAATAAAAAAAACTTCTAATGTTAAGTAATTTTGAATGGAAAATGCTTTGGTACTCTCAGTGATAAGCATAACTTTTTGTAAAGTGACATCTTAACAGACGGAAACCAACAGAAAAGCACCTTCCATGACTAACTGTAACTGGAGACACAGTTAAAGAGTTCGAGGTTGTATGATTCTTCTATCTAACGTCATGATATATATATATATATTTCCTACTAACCAAGGATGGGAACTTAACAAGCAAGTATGTCTTTGATGAAGTCGTGCCTGTTTTATATCGAAATAAACTTGAAAAGAGAAAAGATTAAAAGTAAGGAACCTATAGGTAACCTCTGAGTTTCCAATATACCCCGATGCCAATTTTTTGTAACTATCATTTGATGGGAAAACCTATTCAGTAACAAATGATACTGTAAGAATGTTATCAAAGCTGAATTGATGAGGCTAACCTTACTTAGAAACTAATCCCCTTCTCATCAAATAAGTCAAGAGAGAATAGGTTAAGTTGTAAGTAGGATAAAGACTTTCTTGTGTTACAGAGAATTTATGCCACAAACAAAATATCCCTCAGAGAAAAGGATTTACTTCAATTAATATAAAACTTTTTTTTGAAAATAACAAGATTATCACGTATATAAAAAGGATTTACATATGTAGAAATTTTAATGATGGATTCATTCTTACGCCCAATTAATCAGTTACATGAATTTTAAAACTACCACCTACTGTGTACAATGAGTAATGAAGAGAAAACTTAGCTAGTAATGTTTAACCGCGTAAAGTTACAATTCATTCATCCTCAACGATTTATCAAGAGCATCATATAAGCTACTTCTAATCTATTATAAGCATAGGCTAACAAGTCAATGTCATACATTTCAGGTGTCGATTGTTTAAAGTGATGAAAATTATATGCTATGATGAGACAGTTTCGTTTTTTATGTTGAAACGTCTAGTGAAGAATATCAAAAGAAAAATAACTATTTATCTTTATCGAATACTTTCTATTACTAGGTAAATAAAGGTTAAATAATTTGGTCTTTGTATATGATATTAAATTTTATTTCTCGACTTAACCAACTTGAATGTAAATTAGTCTTGAAGACTATAATATACCTTGATTCATGGTAAACACCGGAAGTAATAAATCATATGAAATATACTTATACCTTCAGTGAACCATCTTCATTTGAATAATTTTTATTAAATCTACCTTAAATACTTTGAATTTAATCAAGAAATTGTGAAATAGATCTATCTTCATATCAATAAAAATAACATACTTGACATTGTTCTTTGTCATTAGCTAATTGCATTACTATATATGAAGTATGCTGGAGTAACTATTTGATTATATGTCTGTATTACTTCTACAATGATTCACCGATGATTTATCAAGATATGTAATTTATTTTAAGGTTGGATCATGGCTACCATTATTATTATTATTGTTACTTTTATCTTGATTTGAATTCAAGTGAGGTGTTCAATACTAGAAATGTACAATGTTGAACATTTGTTCTTCTGAGTAAACGAAATAAATATATACATCCTTAGATAACCAAAAATATTCAGCATTAGAGATAAAATAATTAAAAAAATAATACAGGTTGATTATTATTATTATTATTATCAGAGTCTATCAAACACAATGTTAACTATATAAATGTATAGGGAAAGGAAAAATTATTGATTGAAGACTTTTTTATTCACTCAAAGTTTTACAATATTTCTACTTGTCATAAAATTGAAAATAAGCAGAAAGTATATATATAAACATTGGGAACAATAAAAAAAACAAATTTTCCGGAAATTTATGTCTTTCTGTTCATATGAAAATTTAACAATGAAGGGTGAATAGAAAAGTATTTACTGCTGGTGGTAACAGTTAAAATACTAGTAAATATATTAGTAGTATAAATGTCAGTATAGCAAGTCATATACATTAAACATGTTTACATATAGTATTAATGAATGACGATAAAGTGATTAACAAGGCAAGCAAGTGAATGTAGGTAGAAAGTGTGAAAAAAAAATAAAGAAAACAACTGAAACTCACTTATGCATTATTTTCAACACACAATTTTATATTTGATGCTAATTACCAGCCAATACATATGTATTTTTCAAGCTGGTGTTCATTAAGGACTAATATCAGTTGGCGAGCTATTGGAAATGTGAGCATTGGGCAACTGTTTCACCCGATTATGGGACTAGAATCTAGTGGTCCATGTCTTCAACTTGTGCCAGTTCACAACAAGGCATGACCATCATCGAATGTCATCGTTGAGTATCTGTCCTCACGGTCACCAGGTTTGCTCTGGTCATGGATGCGCACTGCTGAAGAGTCCCATACTAGAACGAAACAGCTATCCAGTCCTCCCAGGTTTCAAATGCTCTTCCAACGCATGCATACCAACTTGAAAAAATACCTTAATCTCTACAAACCCCATGTAAAATAAATACATTGGAAAGAACAGAATACAGCCAATATTCAGACATCTGAACAAGCAGTCACTTAAACAAAACAGACTGATTTACTTACTCTAAATCATCAGTGGCGAGGAACGTAGAAAAATTTCAGTCAAACATATTGCAAAAATAAGCTTATTTTAGACTGAAATTGAATATATGAGTTGGCTGATGATGGTCTCCATCACTTTCTGGCGTCACAGACGCGAAAATTCAACATCCTTTCCAACACATTTAAATGAGAAGTAAACAAAATACTGAATGACTAGTCCAATACATGTCTCCTAATATAAGTCTAATTGTAGTCTAAGTAATTTATTAGTATCGTTTCCGACTATTTTACAGAGAAGGACGCCTTTATATCCAAGTTTAAAGCATGTCTCATTGACAGAATCCAAGAAGTGTGACAACTAAATGAAACGGTTTTGTGTCACCATAAGTCTAAGCTAAGCCCTACAGTCTCTTCTTATTTTCCGCCTATTAGACTTCAAAGGATTTCTTATTCACACAAAAAGACGGTTATCAAAACTATCATATGCATGAAAAATGTCAAACGACTGCCTGATATTCGCATAATAATGGACAACTGCATAATACTGTTATTTTTCTTTTTGGTTCCCCGTGGAACATAGGGATTGAGTAACACGTCACCATTTCACTCTCCTCTCTCCACTATTCTCAACCTCGCTACACAACTGACCACAAGATCTCATTCACTCCTCACAACATCTCATCCATATCACCCTCCACTCACATACCCAACTCGTCGTTCCCCATTCACATCCCACTCAACGGTCTGGTCTGGCTCAACACATAATGTCCCCAAACACTCGTCTCACTGTATCTCCAATCCAATCCAATCCATCTACACACTCTTCTTCTGCATATTTGTTGGGTGATCGATTCTCGGTTAGTTGGTTACCGGGTCAGAGTTCCTCCTTGCTCATTCTTATTATTCCAACTATTCATCTGATCTCCATCTTCGAGCGGGTGTCGAGCGGGTGTAGAAGGCAGTTGTTCATGTCATGTATGTCTGTAGTTTGTTGGGAATGCTTATCGTGACTCGCCAAGTCTGTCAACCATCCCATAGAATCACTGACTTACTTGACTGACTTAGTGTTGAAAACTGGATGTTGTTCATGCTTTATGCTGAGTACAGTGCAATGTAATGCAATGCAGTGTAGTAGATCTCTACACTGATTTCACGCTTATGAAAGCTTCTCTCGACAACTGTAGGTATATAGATAATTTTTAGATCCCCTATTGTTCTTGATACCTCCTTCACTTATCTAGGAAGCACTGTTTCAACTACAGGCGGGACGGACGAGGACGTCAAACTCAGAATCGGAAAAGCAAGACAGGCGTTCATTAGCCTGAAACCAGTGTGGAGATCTTCTGCACTCCGCTCAACATGTGGAACAAGATACGGATTTTCAACACCAACGTCAAGTCAGTGCTCCTGTATGGTTCAGAGACTTGGCGCGTCACGAAAGGGATTTCCAATAAACTACAGACACTCATCAACAACTGCCTACGCTCACTCGCTACTGAAGATCAGATGAATTGCCAGAAAGAATAAGCAACAAGGAATTCACTCTGGGAACGAACCAACCAAGAACCTATCACCCAACAAATATGCAGGAGGAAGTGGAGATGGATTGGACATGCACTGAGAAGGCCGACTGGGGACATCACGCGTCAGGCCAGTTGCTGGAGTGGAATCCCCATGGGAAGCGACGAGTTGGACTTCCCAGCTGAGGGTGACATGGAGGAGGTCGTGCGAGGAAGAAGTGAGAGCTTGTGGGCTGTCGTGGGACCAGGTTCAAAAGATCTCAGAGAACAGAGGTCACTGGAGGCGTGCTACTGAAGCCCTATGTTCCACTAGGAACCCAAGGGACTAATAATAATAATAATATTGTTCTTGATGAATGGAAAGTTGCATATCACAGGATTCCTTAAACGCCATCATTAGTGAAGGTAGTATCTAAAGAATTCATGTGTGGCTTGCTGATGGATATCAACCAGCTATCTATAAGCATCACATATCAGTCAAAATACGTTTCAGTATTTCCAGTCAGATTAAGATGAAAAAGTGGAATGAAAGTTTGGAAACAGTCTTGTTGGTAGAGTGTACTTATAACGATGGACATTTCTCTCTCTCCCTCTCTCTCTCTCTCTCTCTCTCTCTGTATATATAAGCATTGCCTAAAGGTCACTTAAGATTATCCTCAAGAATGAAAAGCCTAATGGGAAAATGGAATTTATATAAAATCTAATTAACTTTACTTCCTTCATCTAGGTTAATTGTACAAATAAGAATATTTTTTTTCGATAAACCAAAGTTGATATTCAAAAAAAGGATTGTGTTAATGGA